TTTTTTTTTTTTTTTGTAACGTTCATTTAACATCTATATATATATAATTACTAGCTCTTCTACATTTAAGAAAACCTCATAAATTATACTTAGGTGGCACTTTTACATTTTCCCTCCAAAAACCGTTACTTTTCATTTATTTAACCTAATTAATAGATAATCAATACACTAATCAATTTAAAATACAAAAATCATTTTGAACTTTTAATTACTGACAGTGAATCATATAATGTGTTACCGTATAATGTGATTAGATATTATTATCGTGGTTACATGTAAATTATTTTTTTTGGAAAATAAAAAAAGTATATGAAACTCCTAAATAAATTATAAATAATTTTAAAAAAATACACACCAAAATATACGTTACATCCAATCTAATAAACGCAATTTAAAAAAAAAAAAATCAACTCCTTTAATTGTAAATTTGACTGCAAAAACGTGAAAGAAAAATAATTCATCATTATATGCATGCAAATAACTCACAATATTTTATTTACATTTGTGCAAATGCACAGGTAGAATACTAGTATCTATAATTGTACTCTTTATAACGTATACTAATGATGCCTCACTTCTCTCTAATTTCTAATTGCCATTAATTACGAGAAAATTAATTTATAAATATCACGACTGACTAAAGGGTGTATTCAATTAGGATTTTTTAAGACTTTAGAAATACTGGTGAATTCAATTTAGATTTTTAAAACTTTTTAAAATTTTGGGGTATTCAATTGAGATTTTTAGAAATTCTTACAAAATGATGAGGTATTTAATTTATTTGACACTAAGATTTATTAAGACTTTTTAAAATTTGGTGGAATTTCTAGACAAAAAAACCTTATACGAAATCTCACTTCAAATCATACCTCGAGACGTAAGATTTCATAGAATTCTTCCAAAATTTGAAAATCTTAAAAAGTCTCAAATCTTAAAAAGTCTTACAATGTCACTTTAAATCTCAATTGAATACGTTGGCAATCAAGCTTGTTGCATCTATAAAATTCCAAAAGCTATATTTATGATATAATAACATCACTAGTACAATACCGTGTATTACATATGTGTTTGTCAAAAAAATGTATAAAATTAACAATAATAATAAAGATATGCTTTAATTCAAATACTTTTTTTGAGTAACTATATCACTATTTATATTTAAATAACACACATCACTTATACGGCATACCATCTTACATTATAATAGTTTTCAAAATTATATCATTAAACAATTTTGCAATTAATTTTTTTTTATAAATTTACTTTTTAATTAATATTAATAGTTAGTTTAATTTTATTGTAAAGATGAATAAAATTATTTATTTATTTTGTATGCACAATATAGATGTCATATCGAAGCTCACCAAGACATGAATAATTTGATATATTATCTATAAAAAATTAATAACAAATAAAAAATTTACTAACTTTTACATTTACTTATAATTTAAGTTAGTAATCTTTTCATAATTTTAAAAGAACGATGAGGAAAAAAGAAAGATTGAGCAAAAAAATTATGCAAATCATGTATAGCTTATGATATGTAAGCTATACATATCATAAGACATGAATATGTACCATCTTCGAATAAACGCGCTCTTTCGCCTCGATTTTGTAGCGAGCAAGGCCGGTCGTGTAGAAAATTCTTTACCCGGCTACGCTTATTAATTAAACTAATCGTTCCAAATGCCATCTTGTAGGCTATAATTTCCTGTCTTAGTTTGACAATGTGACAAATCTTTAATACACATTTACATACAAACTAATAGGCCACTTAAAAGGAGGGCCTCCACAAGCATCAAATTAAATTGGCTTTCCTAGAACCATTAACTAAGTATGGATCACAAATAATTAGTGATCACCAGTATACATTAAACCTATGTCAATCTGTACGTATGTAAAATGTGTTAGTTTTCTTTAGAATAACAAATTTTCCATCATGCCAAAATCTGAGACTTGGCAAGCCTGCGCGAGCACTTTTTACGGGTGGAGTTGCTCAAAGCACAAACACATATTTCAAGAAGATCATAGTCTTCTTCCCAGTACAAAACAGAAGCCTTTTCCGGGTTTTCTAAGAGCATCCTTGAAGTGAGAAATCCAGCAATTGACCATGTCTGGTAGAGACGAGCCTGCTTTCCTATAAACTTGCCATTACGTGTGTCATAATATTCTGGCCATTTATCGGCAGGAAGTCTTTTTTGGGCCAGATTGATGGCCTTCTCGGCTAAATCAGTACGACCCATTTTCATGCATGCCAACGTGAACTGCAGGAGTAAAATGAAGCTCCAAGTTTATCAGATTACCTAAAAAACGTAGTCCATACAAACTCCAACTTCTAAATATCAAATACCATTTGGTGTTTATATGCAGAAATTGCACCCTCAATAAATGCTCATACAAGAATGTACGTTTTTGCTATATTCAGGCCTAATAAAGATGTTCATTAAACCATACCGGAGATTGTAGTGATTACAAAAGAAAGATGGATCCTTTAGTTAGACTAAAACCTCAGGCAGTTTTTATCGAATTATTCTAATCCTGATAGGTAAACATTTTCAACAACAAAAAACTCTCCAAGCACCCCGGCTGCGTTCTTATGGAGTTCAAATTTTTCTGAGAAAGGACCAACTCATGTGGAAAGCCATTGTCCAAATTATCACGAATGAACAAAATAAAAAACAGACAAACGAAAAAAAAAAAATGTGGTCTAATTATGAAAACATCCAGAAATCTACAAACCAAAAACAACTCACGCATTTTACCTGCCACAAAAGCGTTGGCCACGACCCACCATTATGATACGACCAAGGTCTGCAACCAAAAATCATCAAACAAAATTTAATTTCAGTTAGAGATCACCTGAAGTACAGTTGTTATCACTATGCACTAACAACAAATACAATTGCAATTCCACACGAAATCCACAAAACTGGAAAAAAGCCGAATAAAAAACTCACGTATTCTTCGGATCAGATCCCGTGATTATTCGCCACTCTTCCCCCACCAAAGCCGGGTAGCAAATTTTTAGAGGC